AACGTACTCTCTCTCTCTCTCTCTCTCTCTCTCTCAAAGTAAGTTATTCTTTAGTCACATAGGAACCAAGTCATTCTTTAGTCAGATAGGAACCATACTAGAGAATCTAAACCCTTCCTCTTCAACCTATGTTCTTTTTCTTATCTCTCGTGAAAAATTGCAATGAGAGACAGAGAGAGAGCTCTCTATTGGAATGATCAAGCTAGCTTGGAATATTTTTGGCATAGTAAAGCTAGTGAAAATAGCTTTTGAAGCATGCTAAAGGCACTTGAGCTCACTGATATATAATCCAAAATCTCATAAAATCTCAGCCATGAAAAACTAAGTAAAACTTAGTGAAAACTATACCAAATGAAGCCATGATGAACTAGGCATGTGGATCAAGCATGGAATGACTTAAACTAACTCGAAGAAGCACTTAGAGGAAAGCACTTTAATGTTATGGATGGATTTACAACAAGAAAGGATTGGCAAGTGAAGGTGATAGAAAGCCCTTTAAGTGTTCTCCAAGCTAGCTCCAATAGTGATGGGGTATGTCTCTCTCTTAGTCTCACTATCTCTCTCTTTTACTATCTTTTCGCTCAAATGTCTAAGGCAAGAAGTAGGGAGCATATGCCTCTCTATGGGCTACTCTTTGTTACTGTAAACGTGTAGAGTATACTATAATGGTTCAAGTATGGAGGCTTTTTGTGATTAAATTTAAGGACAGCAAGGGGTGAGAGGGCTTAGATCCTAGTCATACGACTCATAAAATTACTATTTTATATATGGTGATTTATCACACCTTTATGCCCTTTAAGCCCAACTCATTTCAAAATTACCTTTAATTAAAATAATTGTGAGAGATGAAATCAAGAGAATGTTATGCCCCTCAAATATCTAAACTTTTCATCTCACTTTAAAATTTAAATCTCGAAATTCGGTTCTATGTCATTGCCCACACACACAGTGTCATATTTCAAATACTTGGCATCATATATCACACACTTGGTATCATAGCTCGCACACTTGTGCAATGAAATATTAATATCTTATAAAAATCTTTTAGATCTAAAACACTATTGGATAATGAATCTCAAAATAAGGAAAATATTTAGATCCTTCGCGACACACAAATCTGAGGGACTACACTAGTGCTTCAGGAAACCTTAATAAACATAACTCCACTAACTCCCCATCCAAACACGAAATAAGGGCACCACCCTATGCTCTCCACATCACACCCATGTGATACACATGGAGTGACTTGGCAACCACATGGCACCTGTTGTTCACTTGGGTGCCCCTTGCCCCACATGTGTGGCTCCCCTCGTTTGATATTTTCTCCACTCTCCTTTGTGTTTATGAGCATTAGCTTCTGTGCAACGTTTTAGTTCAAAGTAGATCCATCACACTTATTTGAGGGCTTATATCACCTAGAGGGTATTCTAAGTTCATCTCTAGGTGGCACTTCATACACAAGTTTCCCTCTGCCCCACATCACTCTACACTGGGATATCACTCTCATGTTATTCACCTTCCTCCATTACTTCTCCTCGGTGATCATTATGTACCATGTGTTGGGTGTATTTTTTAGACACAATTCAATGACCAAATATGTGGGGATATATGCAATCAATGACTAGTACTAACCTTAAGGATAGGATGAATCAGGTTCAAACAACCATTCAGCACGTATAGGCTTGATAGACGGAGGAATGCCATAAGAGGTGTATAAACATGAATTCAAGATATCTCTGCAAAATAGACTTCAAATAATACAATAAGGACTTGCCATCTAGGGCTTCAATAAGCCTTCAAAGACCTGATAGTCAGTCACCGTATGCTTTAACGGCCGGAT